ATGGGCGTGGACTTCTTAAAGAATATTTTTTTCAAGGTCCAACAGAGGAGTGGACTTATTAAAGAATATTTTTTTCAAGGTCCAACAGAGGCGTGGACTTTTTAAAGCATATTTTTTTCAAGGTCCAACAGAGGTGTGAACTTATTAAAAATTTTTTTATTTTCAAGGTCCAACAGAGGCTTGAACTTATTAAAGAATATTTTTTTCAAGGTCCAACAGAGGCGTGGACATCGTAAAGAATGTTTTTTCAAAGTTCCAACAGAGGCGTGGACTTTTTAAAGCATTTTTTTCAAGGTCCAACAGAGGCTTGAACATATTAAAGAATATTTTTTTCAAGGTCCAACAGAGGCGTGGACTTCTTATTAAAAAATATTTTTTTCAAGGTCCAACGGAGGCGCGGACTTCGTAAAGATTATTTTATTCAAGGTCCAACGGAAGCGCGGACTTCGTAAAGAATATTTTTTTCAAGGTCCAACAGTGGCGTGAACTTATTAAAGAATATTTTTTTCAAGGTCCAACAGAGGCGTGGATATTTTAAAGAAGACTTTTTGAGAAGCCCTGAAACTAGGCGTGGATTTTTAAATAAGATTTTGAGAAGCCCTCAATTAAGGCGTGGATTTTTAAAGAAGCCTTTTTGAGAAGCCCTCAATCAAGGCGTGGATTTTTAAAGAAGACTTTTTGAGAAACCCTGAACCAATGTGTGGATTTTTAAAGAAGACTTTATGAGAAGCCCTCAATTAAGGCGTGGATTTTTAAAGAAGACTTTTTGAGAAGCCTATTTTCGTGTGATCGCATTCTCGTATTTCACAATTTCTTCTTTAAAAACCTCATATTCATTCCAATACCTGACCACTCTGCCTCTCTTTATAGTCATATAGATCGATTTCATTTTTTTAGTTTTGCTGATTCACAATCCGTTAACATGAATAATCAGCCAAAACACACGGAAAGTGATTCGTTACGGCTGTGCCGCAAAACTCACGTAGACCTCCGCTTCGTCGCTTCAAACGAAGAATTTACACAACGTCAGTCATAATTTCAACTTCAAAACTCCCAAACACTTATTCATGGACATACACACATCTGTGTGTATGTCAGTCTGTCAATCGGTCGATCGCTATGTATGTTTGTAAACATTTTCTTGGTAAACTCATAAAAAAGTCCCCGTTTTATTATCTTCACTTCGTCGTGTTCTCTGAACCAATAAAGGGGCCAATATCCATTAACTGCATTCATAAATGGCAAAAAAGTAAATAAAACAACATCGGCAGCAACATAGAAGACGAAGAAGTCAAAGAGAAGGAGAGAAAATAAACAAAAATATTTTCAAATAAAATTTTAATTATAAACAAGAGCATGTACCTCACCGAACACCCGTTCAAGCACGCACTCTCAATTTTTGTGTACATACCCTGTCGTATCTGGCGGGGTACATACACACCACATATCACGTTTTGCTGATATGTGGTCGGTCGGATATAGCCAGGCCCCCATTTTTTGAAGGTTGCCGCATTGAGAAAAGCAGAATGACAAGTTATAATGAAAATACATACATACATATGTTCGTATTTACACACAGAGTATGTGCGGGTTCGCTTGCATGTGGTGTGTTTGTGCATTATGTGCATAGTCGTGAGCAAAACGTCTTTGTTTTTAAGAGAACATGAAGCACTTAATCAGAAGAGTGGAATTATTTTCATTTAGTAGAACTAAGTACAATTACACACAAACTGGTATGTACCGAGCGTGACTTGGACATTAGGTCGTATTGTAGAAATTTTGAGAATTTTAAAGAATATTTTTTCAAAGTCCAAACCTCAAAAAGGAGGGGATTTTTTTAGAATATTTTTTTTTTTCAGGGCCTATACAAGGCGTGGATTTTTTAAAGAATATTTTTTTCAGGGCCTATACAAGGCGTGGATTTTTTAAAGAATATTTTTTTCAGGGCCTACACAAGGCGTGGATTTTTTAAAGAATATTTTTTTCAGGGCCTATACAAGGCGTGGATTTTTTAAAAGAAGATCTTTCAAGGGCCTACACAAGGCGTGAATTTTTTAAAAGATGATTTTTTAAGGGCCTATATAAGGCGTGGATTTTTTAAAGATTTTTTTCAGGGCCTACACAAGGCCAGGATTTTATAAAGAATATTTTTTTTTTCAGGGCCTACACAAGGCCAGGATTTTATAAAGAATATTTTTTTTTCAGGGCCTACACAAGGCGTGGATTTTTTAAAAGATGATTTTTTAAGGGCCTATATAAGGCGTGAATTTTTTAAAGATTTTTTTTTTCAGGGCCTACACAAGGCGTGGATTTTTAAAAGATGATTTTTTAAGGGCCTATATAAGGCGTGAATTTTTTAAAGTTTTTTTTTTCAGGGCCTACACAAGGCGTGGATTTTTTAAAGAATATTTTTTTTTCAGGGCCTACACAAGGCGTGGATTTTTTAAAGAATATTTTTTTTTCAGGGCCTACACAAGGCGTGGATTTGTTAAAGAATATTTTTTCAGGGCCTATAAGAGGCATGGATTTCTTCAAGCCCTATTTTTGGGGTGGATTTCTTCAAGGCCTATTTTAGGCGTGGATTTCTTCAAGGCCTATTTTAGGCGTGGATTTCTTCAAGGCCTATTTTAGGCGTGGATTTCTTCAAGGCATATTTTAGACGTGGATTTCTTCAAGGCCTATTTTAGACGTGGATTTCTTCAAGGCCTATTTTAGACGTGGATTTCTTTAAGGCCTATTTTAAGCGTGGATTTCTTCAAGGCATTTTTTAGGCGTTGATTTCTTCAAAGCCTATTATAGGCGTGGATTTCTTCAAGGTATATTTTAGACACAATTCACTACGCTATGCGAAAGTTCGTGCAAATCGAAGAATATGTAGGGTCTTTGGTGCACCATTTACATTAAATCGGACGAATATATATGGGAGGTATATCTAAGTCTGAACCGATTTTCACGAAATTTAGCACACATCATTCTAGACTCAATTCAGTACGCTATGCAAAATTGTGTGCAAATCGAAAGATATTTAGGGACTTTGGTGCGTCATTTACATTAAATCGGACGAAAATATATATAGGAGCTATATCTAAATCTGAACCGATTTTCACGAAACTTAGCACACATTATTCTAGGCTGAAGTCAGTACCCTGTGCCTAATTTCGTGCAAATCGAAAGATATTTAGGGACTTTCGGACGAAAATATATATGAGGGCTATATCTAAATCTGAACTGATTTTCACGAAAGCTATATCTAAATCTGAACCGGAGCTATATCTAAATCTGAACCGATTTTTCCCAATTTCAATAGGGTTCGTCCTTGGGCCAAATAAATAAGATGTGACAAATTTCATCCAAATCGGATCATAAATGCGACCTGTACTTTGTTCACAAAAATACATGGACGGACGGACAGACGGACATTCATATATCGACTCAGAAAGTGATTCTATGCATATTCTCAAAAGGAACCATGGGTCTATTTCATTTCCTTTTGCCTGTTACAAACATATGAACAAATACATAATACCCTGTACCACAGTGTGGTGAAGTGTATAAAAATCTATCCTTCTAATAGTCCTTGAAAAGGTATTCTTAAAAAATCTACGGTTGTGAATGTCTTGGAAAATATATTTAAATTATTTTTAAAATCCACACCACAGGTCTTCCTTTCAAATTCAATTATCCATTTTTAATGTTTTCTCTACTCCATTCTCCATTCATTCGTGCTCTCTATTTCCATTATTCTATGGAACAGCAGATGTTCATTTATTTTTCTATTTTTTTGCAGAAAAAAACTTAAATAGCTTAGCAGATCAAACCAGTCACGATATTGTTCTACTTTCTCATATCGATGGGTAATGAACTAAGTTTTTTTCCTTTAGAATAAAAATATGTTTATTCAATTTGCATTGCTTTTGTTTTGTATTATGTAACACACAGATTTTCTGAGCCCCCATACCTGCAAGCATCCTTTATAATCCGCACAAAAGTAAAACTTTCTTCCAATAACAAAAAAACTCAGAAATTCTTTGTTTCATGAAAATCATCATCAGTCATTCATTTCGAAACAAAAGCTGAGGCGAATACGACAGGAGCTGCAGAATCAAAAACAACAGAAAATTACTAATATCCCACCCGACAAGGGGGACGGGAAGGAAGAGGAAACCTGTTTTCATTGTTTTTTGCATTGAATTCAAACCAATTTCCGGTTTATTTAAATGGGAGTGGTTCAGAAACGACTGAGAAGGATAATGGAAAAATCTGAGTTGGAGAGGGTGATAGAGAGGGGGTGTGGGATAGGGTGGCTGTGGTTAACCAAATGGAAATTGTTATTTCTTCAGAATAATGAATTATGTGTGTGTCGGTGTGAAGGTATGTGTCTGTGTGGCTTGAGGTTTCTCACTTCATGGCTCGAAATCAACCGGAAGCTGTTGATTTGTAAAATTAAAATATTTCTCAGTTTTGTGAGGTGAGAAGGTGTCTCAGCAAATACTGGTGTGGTTAAGAAATGTTGGCACTTTTGGCTTGTGGCTCAAGGACCATAAATATGTGTGGTTTTGTTAAAACTATTTTTTCAGGAACTATTGGATTTTTTAAAATCATTTTTTTCAAGGCCTATAAATAGGCATAGATTTTTAAACACATTTTTTTAAGGCCTATTTTTATTATTTTAATAAATTCCGAACATTTCAGCCTTAAGATTATTTTTATATTTTATGGTATCTTTAAACTTTTCTTTAAAAGTTTTCTTTTTGCTTTCAACACATAAAAGGTTTTTTTTTATGGCAGCCAAAGTTTTGGCCCCCCTTTTTTAGAAATAAAAAAATAAAAAGTTTTCCGATAACATTTCAAAAAGGTCATAAATGTTCGAAGAGCGTGTTGTTTTAGGATAGTTTAGAAAACAAAATTTAAAGACTATTAAGGACAATACAATTTGTTTATCCTTGAATGTTTGAGAAGGAAGAAAAAAACAAATAAATTATCATTTTTTCGGTACTTACTCATCAACCTCCTCCTCTGACATTGAGTGACTGTTGCTGGTTAACAAAGACATTTTGTTTATTGTTGGTTTAGCTGAAAAGAAAAAGGAGAAAGAAAAAAATGAAAATTGATATTTTTCTAGGTAAATAATCGATATTGTTATGGATCTCAAATTGTTGAAATACGAAAAAAACATAGTCCTTCTCCAAAAATATTCTTTAAAAATCCACGCCTATTTCTAGTCCTTCTCCAAAAATATTCTTTAAAAATCCACGCCTATTTCTAGTCCTTCTCCAAAAATATTCTTTAAAAATCCACGCCTATTTCTAGTCCTTCTCCAAAAATATTCTTTAAAAATCCACGCCTATTTCTAGTCCTTCTCCAAAAATATTCTTTAAAAATCCACGCCTATTTCTAGTCCTTCTCCAAAAATATTCTTTAAAAATCCACGCCTATTTCTAGTCCTTCTCCAAAAATATTCTTTAAAAATCCACGCCTATTTCTAGTCCTTCTCCAAAAATATTCTTTAAAAATCCACGCCTATTTCTAGTCCTTCTCCAAAAATATTCTTTAAAAATCCACGCCTATTTCTAGTCCTTCTCCAAAAATATTCTTTAAAAATCCACGCCTATTTCTAGTCCTTCTCCAAAAATATTCTTTAAAAATCCACGCCTATTTCTAGTCCTTCTCCAAAAATATTCTTTAAAAATCCACGCCTATTTCTAGTCCTTCTCCAAAAATATTCTTTAAAAATCCACGCCTATTTCTAGTCCTTCTCCAAAAATATTCTTTAAAAATCCACGCCTATTTCTAGTCCTTCTCCAAAAATATTCTTTAAAAATCCACGCCTATTTCTAGTCCTTCTCCAAAAATATTCTTTAAAAATCCACGCCTATTTCTAGTCCTTCTCCAAAAATATTCTTTAAAAATCCACGCCTATTTCTAGTCCTTCTCCAAAAATATTCTTTAAAAATCCACGCCTATTTCTAGTCCTTCTCCAAAAATATTCTTTAAAAATCCACGCCTATTTCTAGTCCTTCTCCAAAAATATTCTTTAAAAATCCACGCCTATTTCTAGTCCTTCTCCAAAAATATTCTTTAAAAATCCACGCCTATTTCTAGTCCTTCTCCAAAAATATTCTTTAAAAATCCACGCCTATTTCTAGTCCTTCTCCAAAAATATTCTTTAAAAATCCACGCCTATTTCTAGTCCTTCTCCAAAAATATTCTTTAAAAATCCACGCCTATTTCTAGTCCTTCTCCAAAAATATTCTTTAAAAATCCACGCCTATTTCTAGTCCTTCTCCAAAAATATTCTTTAAAAATCCACGCCTATTTCTAGTCCTTCTCCAAAAATATTCTTTAAAAATCCACGCCTATTTATAGTCCTTCTCCAAAAATATTCTTTAAAAATCCACGCCTATTTATAGTCCTTCTCCAAAAATATTCTTTAAAAATCCACGCCTATTTATAGTCCTTCTCCAAAAATATTCTTTAAAAATCCACGCCTATTTATAGTCCTTCTCCAAAAATATTCTTTAAAAATCCACGCCTATTTATAGTCCTTCTCCAAAAATATTCTTTAAAAATCCACGCCTATTTATAGTCCTTCTCCAAAAATATTCTTTAAAAATCCACGCCTATTTATAGTCCTTCTCCAAAAATATTCTTTAAAAATCCACGCCTATTTATAGTCCTTCTCCAAAAATATTCTTTAAAAATCCACGCCTATTTATAGTCCTTCTCCAAAAATATTCTTTAAAAATCCACGCCTATTTATAGTCCTTCTCCAAAAATATTCTTTAAAAATCCACGCCTATTTATAGTCCTTCTCCAAAAATATTCTTTAAAAATCCACGCCTATTTATAGTCCTTCTCCAAAAATATTCTTTAAAAATCCACGCCTATTTATAGTCCTTCTCCAAAAATATTCTTTAAAAATCCACGCCTATTTATAGTCCTTCTCCAAAAATATTCTTTAAAAATCCACGCCTATTTATAGTCCTTCTCCAAAAATATTCTTTAAAAATCCACGCCTATTTATAGTCCTTCTCCAAAAATATTCTTTAAAAATCCACGCCTATTTATAGTCCTTCTCCAAAAATATTCTTTAAAAATCCACGCCTATTTATAGTCCTTCTCCAAAAATATTCTTTAAAAATCCACGCCTATTTATAGTCCTTCTCCAAAAATATTCTATAAAAATCCACGCCTATTTATAGTCCTTCTCCAAAAATATTCTATAAAAATCCACGCCTATATTTGATAGTCCCTCCAAAAATATTCTTTAAAAAATTCACGCCTATAACTGACATGGTCCCATGGTCCATGGTCCACGCCTATAACTGACATGGTGTCTCCAAAAATATTCTTTAAAAAATCCACGCCTATTTATAGTCCTTCTCCAAAAATATTCTTTAAAAATCCACGCCTATTTATAGTCCTTCTCCAAAAATATTCTTTAAAAATCCACGCCTATTTATAGTCCTTCTCCAAAAATATTCTTTAAAAATCCACGCCTATTTCTAGTCCTTCTCCAAAAATATTCTTTAAAAATCCTATTTCTAGTCCTTCTCCAAAAATATTCTTTAAAAATCCACGCCTATTTCTAGTCCTTCTCCAAAAATATTCTTTAAAAATCCACGCCTATTTCTAGTCCTTCTCCAAAAATATTCTTTAAAAATCCACGCCTATTTCTAGTCCTTCTCCAAAAATATTCTTTAAAAATCCACGCCTATTTCTAGTCCTTCTCCAAAAATATTCTTTAAAAATCCACGCCTATTTCTAGTCCTTCTCCAAAAATATTCTTTAAAAATCCACGCCTATTTCTAGTCCTTCTCCAAAAATATTCTTTAAAAATCCACGCCTATTTCTAGTCCTTCTCCAAAAATATTCTTTAAAAAATCCACGCCTATTTCTAGTCCTTCTCCAAAAATATTCTTTAAAAATCCACGCCTGTTTCTAGTCCTTCTCCAAAAATATTCTTTTAAAATCCACGTATATTTATAGACCTCGGAATGTGCACACTTTGTTCAGAACAGGCGCAGTGTTCGCATTGGCGGATGTACTCAAGAAGTACAAAGCCGATATTATTGCCCTACAGGAAATGCGATGTATTATAGCTGCCATGAAACGAGACATGAATATGGTTGCGGATTTATGGTCAACAAGATAATAAAATATCTCGCCTCCAGATTCACTCCAGTAGATGAGCGAATTGCTATAATCCGCATAAAAGCGAAGTTCTTCAACATCAGTCTCATTTGCGCCCATGCTCCGAACGAAAACAAAGGTGAACAAACCAAAGACATATTTTACGAGCGCCTAGAAACAGCAAATGATCGTTGCCCTGACCATGACATATAAATTCTGTTAGGAGATTTTAATACAAATATCGGAAAGGAAAATATCTTTGGTCCCACCGTCGGAAAATTCAGCCTCTATGAAGAAACATCTGACAATGGCATGAGGTTCATTGACTTCGCGGCAGCAAAAAACATGGTAGTTAGCAGCACCAGATTCAAGCATCTCGATATACACAAGGGCCACTTGGATTTCTCCCAATCGAACAAAGAGAAATCAAATCGATCATGTTGTGATAGACGGAAGGCATTCATCCAGTGTTCTAGACGTCCGATCGATCCGGGGATCGAATATCGATTCGGACCTTGTGGCATCCGTCTTAATGTAGCAGCAAAGGTGCGATCTAATGTAACACGGAGAGGAGAAACGTATTTTCAGAAAAAAGAAGACAGAGCAAGAGTAAGGATGAAGTCAGAAAATTCTACCAACGGGTAAAACACCAAACCGAAGGCTTTAGGGCAGGCACATCCTCCTTTAGAGATAAAGAAGGTATCCTGGAGACAGATACAGACAGCGTTCTGAGGATCTGGAAGGAGCATTTTGAAATTTCTGGTATCAAATAGTAGCAGTGAAGTGGATACCCCAGAACAAATAATAGATGACGGTATAGAGTGTATACCACTTAGCAAGCAGAAGTCAGAATAGCAATCAATCGGTTGAAGAATAATAAAGCAGAAGGGGCCGATGGGTTACAAGCCGAACTATTCAAGACTGGTGGTCAGATGCTGGTAAGGGGCATGCACCAGCTGATTAGTACAATCTGGCTAGAAGAATGCATGCCCAATGATTGGGACCTCACCATCCTGTGTCCCGTGCACAAAAAAAGGAGACAAAACGATATGTGCCAACTATAGAGGAATAAGTCTCCTTCCCATCGCATATAAAGTGCTCTCCAGTGTGCTGTGTGAACGATTGAAGTCAATGGTCAATGACATTATTGGACCATACCGATGTGGCTTCAGACATGGCAAATTCACTATTGACCAATTTTTCACTCTGCGCCAAATCCTAGATAAGACCCACGAAAAACACATCGACACATTCCGCCTATAAAGCCGCATTCGACAGCCCTATCCGTTCAGAGGTGTATAGAGACATGTCTGCGTTTGGCATTCCTGCAAAATTAATTCGGCCATGCAGGATAACTTTAACAGGCACAAGATCAGCAGTAAAAGTCGGAAAGTACCTCTCGGAGCCCTTTAATACCGAACGAGGATTCAGACAAGATGATCGTTTGTCGTGTGACCTTTTTAACATCCTGCTGCTGGAAAAGGTCATACGAGAGGCAAAAGTGAACAGAAATGGCACTCTATACACCAAACAACTCATGTTATTCGCCTACGCCTATGACAGCGAGATAATGGGTCGAACATTGAGAGCGTTAACAGCCACCTTTGAACAAATTGAGAAGGAGTCTGCCAATGTGGATCTGGCAGTAAACGGCGAGAAGACCAAGCAGATGGTATCAACGCGCAAGACGTCCAGTAGACTCGGCCCAACTGTGGAACATGAGATCTACAGCTTCGATGTATTCAAAGATTTTCGATGTATTCAAAATTTCTCCGAAAGATCTATGGGCCGATCTGCGTTGACGGTGAATATCGCCGTCGAATGAACCATGAGTTGTACCAGCTATTCTCGGACATCGACATTGTTAGTATTGAGCTGCAGCGACTACGTTGGCTAGGTCATGTTGTGAGAATGGATAAA